CGATCTCCAATTTGATATCTTATTTCATATATACACATATAACTAATATCCATCTTTATAAATAAAATATAAATTATCTAATCAATATCAATGAGAGAATATTAAATTATTAATTAAATAAGTTAATTTAGCCTATTGTGCGAGAGAGTTCAAAGATATTATTATATATATATATTAACAAAATATAATTTTATTAAAATATTAAAAAAATAATTAAATACTCCCGTTTTCTTAATTTGTAAAGTTTAAAGTTACGCTAACACTCACGTAATAGTTAATACCACTAGTACTATTAAAATTGAACCATAAATTTATTTTATCCCATATTCCCATATTCTTTAACAACTAGTATGTGATATGTGCATTTGCATAAATATAACACACGGTTTTGTTTGTATTTAGTAATTAGACATATACTTCTATTATATAAAAATTATTACTTTTTCTTTAAATTATTTTATCATTCAAAATTAATTGAGATTTAAAGTTTATTTTAACCATGTAACGTTTGCATTAGTAACATGAAATAAAATAATTTATATATTTGTGGGATATATTAAGAAAATTAACATAAATAAAAATAATATATTGGTGTTTCTGATTTTTAGAAAAAAAAGTATGTGTCAATCATATTTTTTTCCAACAATGCAACTCAATATAGCGGTTATAACTCTGAATGTGCCAATTAACTTTAAGTTCCAACATTAGCTATTACGCATTTGAATCTTTTGCTACCAAATTTAGAATTAATTTAGTAACTGATCCAAAAAATAAATAATAAAAATATATATATTAAGGTGTAACAGTTTTAGCAGATTATTGAGTAATTAATTAAAAAAAATGTAACTTTTTTAAGGAAAATGAAAATAAGTTTTATTAAATATTTTATTAAATGCATTAGTTAGTAATTATATATATATATGTGTGTGTGTGTGTGTTACATTCTATGTTAAAAAATAAAGGGTGATAAAATATGTTGTTCTCACATATCAAACTAATAGTTACCGATCTCATTCCACAATCATATAATATCTAGGGAAGATTTTACGGTCTCATTACGAAATCATTTCATCGGAGTTTGTAGCCGTTAGATCGACCATTCAAAATAGTTACATGATGATTTAACGGTTACAAATCTCGACGAAATTGTTCAGGAACGAAATTGTAGCATTTCCCAATATTTAGGCCTTGTTTGGCGATCCGCGGATAGCGGATTGTATTAGCTGATTTGACCAGCGGATTGCATTAGCTGTTTTCAAATAAGTGTTTGGTAAATAGCTGAAAGCTTATAGCTGCATGACATTGCAATTACCAATAAAGACATTTTATTATTTAGGGTGTATTGTTTTAATAATAATATATTAAAATATTTAATATTCTTTAGTTGGTAATTTATAAATATATTATTTTAGTTAAAATTTACTAACACTTGATTAAGAAGTTATGAATTTTACATTTTTCTAGATAAATTAATCATATGGATGACATATTATTATTTATTAACACCATAAACTAATGTAGATTGTAAAATAAATAATACAAATTAAAAAGTTCCAAATTAAAATAGTAGATTGTGAATCTTCTATCCCCAAAAAGCTCCTCTAGTGAGCTTTTTCTAAATTAGAGTTTTGGGCCCAAAAAAAGTTATCAAATAAGCTATTTACCAAACAGTCTCAATAGCAGATTTGACGGGTCAAATCTCTCAATTAAGTCCAATTCATTAATTTATCTTCAATCTTTTATCTTCCCAACGGGTCAGTTAGTCAAATTTACTAATTTAGTCAAACAATTGTTGCAGAACTTTTCATTCAATCATTGATAATCATAATAGAGCGAATGGAGTCCAACTGAACGATAAACACAAGGATAAGAGTGGGTGGCCCGTTCAGAAAGGTGCAGGTTCTCTTTTTAATTATGGGCTGTTGGCTTTCAGAAGGAATGGATCTACGGCGTTTCATTGGCCCTTTTACATATTAATATGGCCCAAATAGTTCAATATAGTGCTAGGCCCAAAAGACACGGGCATATAGGGCCGACACGCTCCAGTGTTTCCCATGTGTGATGTGTCCACCACTCACATGCTGCCACGTAACGACAATTGAAAAAACCAAAAGTTCCCGTCAGTCACCAATCCCCACGTTACCAAATTTGTACGTACCCACGTTATTTTCAACGTGACTCCGTTAATCTAAAAATGTATACATAAACTAGTATTCGATCATGTGCACATGCACAGATGCAAATATAAGTTTATATGTTATATGTATGTGTATGTAATATTTAAAATCAAAAGTTAGATAACAGTATATCACATTTTATAAATTTTATCATTAGTAAAAATAAACGATAAACTATTAACTTACATATTAGCTTTTATATCGATTGCAGTTATATAATTTTTGCAATACCTTTTTAGTATGAACAATTGATTAGATAAAATAATATTGAAATAATTATTCTTATAGTATCGAAATTTTGAAAATTTTGGTTATATCATAAAAATTAAATAACTAATGTTGATAAAAACACTTGTTTAATGAGTTAAAACCAAAAAAAAAAAAAAAATCAAATAAATAGTTTGAAAAATAATTTAAATTATAATTTAATTTAATGTGGGTTTATGATTTGTTAGTAGTAATTGTTATATAATAAAATAAATAAAAATAAATAAATACTTAATTAATGCAAAGTAACCTCTTTTGGAGGAAAAAATTTTGAGGTTATATTAAATACACATGAGCTAGTAATTATATGTATATATATATATATATATATATATATAGATGATCCCATCAACTCCCCATTCAATTAAAATTCTAACTATTAACTAATACATTGAATATGTCATTCAAAATTTCATCTATAACTAGTAAGAAAATAGACATTGTATGAATTAATTCAAGGTTATTTAATATATTGTTATATGAGCTCGATTTGTTACTATAAATTTTGTTTTTACTCGATCAGATTAACGAAAACATATAAAATTGTATAAAGTATACCTTTTTTTTTTCTACATAGATTTATAATATCCTACATTACTAGATGTAACTCTTGTTTGAACACTCAATATCTTTTTATGATTGATTTTTTTTTTTTATTTATGGGTGGAATAATACTAATAAAAAGATGAATAATTCTAATATATGAGTGAATAAAAATAGTAAATTTTAGTGAAAATTGTATAACAATTATTGATTTCCATTATTTGATTATATTGATAAGATTATGTAGAAAAAATGAGATTAGATGAATAGACATTTTTCAATTTTTTTATATTTAGTAATAGTTCTAATAAAAATTTGATATATTTTCAATGATTTTATTATCTTTTGAAAAAAAACTCATTAAAAAATCACACATTTGAATTTGTTCAAGACAAACCCTAAACCCGCCAAACCTCTTAACGTCCGTTAAACCCTCGAACCTATCAACAAATATGGGGAATTTCTTTTCTCGATTTCCGCCAACCCTAGCCACTTGGTTCGGATCCTACGAACCTCAGGCTTTGCAAATCCGAACCTCAACCTCTCTTTTAAAAACACTCGACCTGCATTTTCCCTTTCCATCGCACTCCAGCTAAAAAAGTGGCCGTGTGTAAGCTTTCGCAGTAGAGAGAGTGAGCGATATTGTTGACCGCCGGCGATCGAGATCGGAAGTTGGAATCCATGGCCGACCACGCCGAAGATCACGACTCAAAGGAAAATGCGGCTGAGTCTCTGATGGAAAAGCTCACGGATAAGCTCCACGGAAGCGATTCCTCCTCCGATTCCGACGACGACGACAAGGAAATCAAATCGACGGTCTCCGCCGTCAAGGCCAAGATCTACCGCTTGTTTGGACGTGAGAAGCCGGTCCACAAGGTTCTGGGCGGCGGAAAACGTATGAACACATATAATTATATTCTGTGCTCGACCGATTACATTTGCATATTGAGTTTTATCTGTTACTCGAAGTAGCTTGATTTGGTGTTTGTGCGAATGCTGAAGTGTTAACTGTGTGTTGTTGTTTTGCTTTTGCAATATTGAGTTGTGGGCTTTTGAAGGATCTAAGTTTTAGGTAGTAAATGTCTATACATTTCCTTATTGAGTTTCGTTTGTTATTTTGAAGTAGTTGAATTTGGTGTTTGCGCTAATGGGGAAGTGATAAATTGTGTTGTTATTTTGCTTTGTTACGTTGGAATGTGGGCCTTCGAAGGATCTGAGTTTCAGGTACTTATATTCCAGGTAGCTTTCCAGATTTAAGTTGTTATGATTAGATTGTGGGATATGAGCTATTAATTTGTTTTCTGTTCTCCTACAATCGTATGGAAACTCGACTCTTTGCATATTTGTTATTGCTTTGTTATGGAGCAGGACACGTTTGTATTTGGTTGGGTGAAAATAAGATTTGCTTGTATATCCGAGAGTGGATATTTGCTAATGTTATCGTAAACATTGACAGCTTTGTTATATGTTTTGACAGTGTTGATGTGGTGGGTGAGGAGTTAGTCTGGAAAATGTAGTTGCCAGGGATTTATTATGGAATATGTTTTGCTTTGCTTGTTGGCTTTCAGTACACTGCAAGTGTGAAGGTGAACTCTATGTTGCAATATGAGCCTCATTTAGTTAATTCTTTTGGCACTGCTTTTAACATGGTTATAAATTATGAATCGAGATTGGTGAAGCCTACCTTTTGAAAGTGGGTTGCTAAGTTTCTGATGATGGACTATCTTTGAAGATTTCAGATCCCCCATATGTTTATGAATTCGTTGGGTTCTCTAGGTAGGTAAATGCATGGAAGTTAATCTTCAATAGCGTGTCTACACTAAGAATTTGTGGATTTTAGGTTTTTGCTTATTCTTAATATTGGATGTTGAAGTTTGGAGCTAATACCTCAGCAGAACACATGTATGAATGTGATTATTGGGAACGATTTTATATTTACTCATGCAGCTATTTGTCTGAGAAAACTTGCTCTGATGTACTTGTGTGCTTGCATACTATAACCGATACTGTATATATGTTGAACATTTCTTCTACTGCAGCTGCTGATATTTTCTTATGGAGGGACAAGAAGATTTCTGCTGGTGTTCTTGGTCTTGCAACCGCAATTTGGGTGCTTTTTGAATTGATGGAATATCACCTGCTCACACTTGTCTGCCACATCGTGATTCTTGCTCTTGTAATATCTTTCTTGTGGACAAATGCTTCCAGCTTTATCAACAAGTAAGCTTTCTGCCAACCTTTTAAACCTCCCATTACTGTATTTTCTTTTTTCCTCTCTTCTCATCTCTTATTATATCCATATTTTCCAGGTCTCCACCTAAGATCCCACAAATTGTTGTCCCTGAGGATTTTGTCCTGGGTGTAGCTTCAGCTCTTAGGATCGAATTCAATGGCGCTTTTGCCACTCTTCGAGAAATAGCATCTGGGAGAGATATTAAGAAATTTCTTGCTGTATGTTTAAAGTTTAATCTATCTGATTAATTTGCAAAATATTTTGTGTTTGCTAGAGTTTGAGTCTAATATTTGCGTTTGCTGTGAAATTTGACTTCTTGTTTTTAGGTGATTGCTGGCCTTTGGGTTGTTTCAGTTTTGGGAAGCTGCATGAACTCCCTGACTCTGTTTTACATATGTAAGTGCCTAACATTATTTTCTATATGCATATTTCTGTCGGCTTTTGTGCAGGTTTTACGGTGATTGATATTTCTCTTGTGTTTTGCTCCTTTCCTTTCTATACAGGCTTTGTTTTGCTGCACACGGTGCCTGTGCTTTACGAGAAATACGAGGATCAAGTTGATGCTTTTGCTGAGAAAGCTGAGGCTGAGATCAAGAAACAGTATGCTGTGTTCAATGCTAAGGTATTGAGTAAAATCCCAAAAGGTCCTCTCAAAGATAAGAAGTTTGCCTAAAAACCTGACCAGGTTGTGAAACTTTGTGTTACTAGATTCTCGGGTAGGATCTGTTTTTTCTCGTTCTACCATTTTGTTGTTGTGGGCCATCTTTTTTTCTTCATTTCCTGATAGAACCCTTTGTGTTTTGACTAACACCCGGGTTCATGAATGAATGCAGCTCTGATATTAGGCGGTTTTGAATTTTGTTGTCAAATTAAAATATGCTTCATGGATTTCTGAATTTCATTTTGGCTTTGGGTTGGCCTACTGAATGTGAATGTTGAGATTTTTGTGGAAGAATTATTGTGATTCATGTTATCAATTTATCGACTTTTGGTTCCAAGTTTGGTGAGTTTTTTTGTCTCCAGAAACTTGATACACAGGAGCCTAGTTTTCTACTGCACTCAAGTTTGACAGTTGCAATAAATTCATTCAAATATTAGTTATATTAGTTAATAATATTTTTCTTAACTAAAAAAGATCCTGATTATTGGAACCTGAAATTATTGCTCAGGTTTGTCTGTGTTATTTATGCAAAAATGTATTTTGTTTGTACTCTTCATATTTTGAAATTTAAAACATTCACAAATGAATAAAATAACAATACTTATTATTAGTAGTTTACTAAAACTGGATATATTTTTAATATTTTATATATGAATATGTAGAGAAGGCACTGTATACCCCAATGTTCATATTATACGAAGTTTAATTTGTACATGTGTTTGTTAAATTAACAAAGTTTAATTTGTACATGTCCTTCAGTCTTTTAGATTTTAATGGTATTGAAATTACAGGTGGCTTTAGATTCATCCTCTCATGAATTTAGATTAGTTTGGATTTTTTTTTTTTTTTTTAATTGCTAATTTACTTGTTACAGTCTTAATTGTTATTATTATTATTTTTGTTAAAACCTGGTTTTGGATATGTATAGTGATTGAGCTTGCTTTCCTTTATTTTTACACCAAACAAAATTTTAAAAACTAATAAAACATAAAATAAGAATTAAAGGCACCATAAGTACAAAAAAGTCGCATAATACCTTGCTGCATATCTGATCTCAAATTGAAAGTGCATGTTTTTTTTTTTTTTTTTTTTTTTTTTTTTTTTTTTTTTT